TTTAATAAAGTGGACTTGGCACGTTTTCACCTTTAGGTAGAGAAATACATTTGTGTTGTTAATTTTTAACTTAAAAGTTTAACAAACATTAAAAAGAAACGGTTTTTGTATTTTACCAACAAAAACTTTATATGAAGGCGTCTAGGACTTACCATTGATTTTTGGCAATTTTTTACTAACAGTGCCTCTTCCATACAAAAATGACTTTTTTTCAACGAAAAATTATAAAAATCGACGGTAAATCTTAGCTAATTGCACTTTATTTCAATAAAATTTAATGTACCACGAAACTCTATACTCAAAATCTTTCTAAGAAATCCATCTAAAAAGGCTTACATTTTTACAAAAGTTTGCTATTTTTTTTCTAAATATTGCACAGAGTTTGAAACTTAGATTTATACGACTGTTGTTAAAGAGTAAACCATATCTTTAAAAAAAATAACTAAAATTATAATGATGGTGCGTTTTTAATTTTGACACGGATTTTGGACGGTAAAGGTGAACACTTTCTAAAATACCATATAACGAAAAAATTAAATTTTGAGAACAAGTAAATTTTTCTTTTAAAAATGCGCAGGTTAGAGACCCATTTCCGGCTTATAGTTTCTTCTAAATAACCGAAAATACCATGCGATTCGTCGAAAAACTGTCGTCGGAACAATTTGACCACCTTAATGTACATATTTTAAAAGTTCTAATTTTTTTCTTAATGAGATGTTTATAATTTTTTTCTTTCCAAAAATTGGGACATTTTGCGTCCCGGCATATATTGTACCGGGACCGGGACATAGCTCTAAAATCCGGGACAGTCCCGCCGAAAACGGGACGGTTGGCAACCGTGCTTTAAACCTGTCAACACAAAATATGTAAATACTGGCTCGATAAATATTGAACATGTAGCATTCTCGCGCGACCCATCAATATGGATCACGATCCAAATATCACAATAAATATTGGACGTGTGACAGGCGCCCTACACTGTGATAAATTAACGCGTAGACTTCCCAGCGATACTTTTCTTTAGGGACACGATACCGAAAGTATCGATATGGTACTCATTTAAAGTATCGCTTTAAAAATATCGGGTACCCATTAATATCGGAATAAAAAGACTCGATATTCCAAATATCGATACCGAAATCCAAAAAATTTATCTGAATATAGTTTTCGCAATAGGCCGGTTTTTATTATTATTACCACACGTAGAGATTTAGGTGTTGACTTAAACACCGAAGCCGCGGGTTCAAATCCCACCACATGCAATCCTAACCATAGTACAAATTTCTGCACTTTAAAGCCCAATTTATATGGGAAAGAATTGTTACAAGCCAACCTTATATGCGTGCGTAAAAAGCTAACTCAAATTCCACGATTTATCTTGCGTGACATTTTGATTTGACGTTTATGCTCAATTGGCATTTTGGCGCGACTATGAATTCAAATTTCTCTCAACAAACTTCTGTAAATTTGACAGAAATGCAACGTGAGAAATCACGCACGCAAATTGATTTGGGTTTATCAAATGAGAATAACCTGCGTGCGTGCGTAGAAAAACTCTCGCCCGTAATATTAGGTTGAGCTGTTAATAACATTATCCTCCCCTGAGAAAAAAAACGCGTTATAAGAATTAAAATTTTTTATTTGATTACCGTTTAAAAATGTTCGTATTTAAATCAAGTGAAAAGTCTTAAAAAAATGGATTTTTCCATTACACATACACTACGTACATATAATGGAAATATTCAATTCAAGTACTCCCATATTAAAATTAAGAATTCTTTACTACACGGATGGCGTTTTGCACGTCTCGGGTGCTTTTTCATATGTAATTAAGAAAGTATATCTGTGTTCGTATGGAAAAGTAGGTTATGTCGAAAGGCTGGCTTTAGTATAAATCGGCATTCGCAGCATACGATTGCGAATGACTCACCGGCACTGAGCCGTTGAAAAGCTTTTGGCAAATAAACGTGCAAGAAATAATTCCGATACTAGCAAGGCAATATTCTTGTTAAGTCTCATCAAAAAATTCCTTGTCGTTTAAAGAATAAAGGGAATGCCGTATTATACTAAAGCCAGCGTTTCGACATAAGCTACTTTTCCAAACGAACACAGATATGTATACAAAGCATGCACAGCGGTGACAACACATTCACACATACACACATGGTATTTATCTGTACAAATGCATTAATCGCGCGCTGTGATGTTGATACAAACTCAACATTTGAAAACACATTTACATGTATGGCTGTAGCTGAGTGTGCAAAGACCCTTGATACAATTAGTTGCGGCCAAGAGGGTCCGGTTTCAATTCCCATCAGACAGAACATAAAATTAATTTTTTTTCTTATTAATTACGAAAAAGCATCTGTGCACTTCACAACCACATATTTTATAACGTATATTTATACTCAAATTTAAGACAAGTTGGGTTGGTGCTCTTTCAAATGCGTATTTTTTTCAATTTAGCACATTTTTTTTAATTAAAAAAAAAAAAAAATTTTTTCCCTCAGTGTTGGAATGTGAGTTTATGACATTCGATACGATACTAGGGTTCTGGTACTCGATTCCAAAAAATATCGTTTTAAAACTATCGAGTAGAGAATATCGGTATCGAATGCCAAAAGTATCGATATGGTATCGTATCGTATCGAAATTCGTGCCCCTACTTTTCTTCAATATGTGGTTAGTTGTTTTTCCTGAGCGCTGTGTTGCCTGATCAATGCACTTGTTCTGGTAGTGTTGTCACAGCTACACATAATCACAGTACAATTTATCAAATTTAATCCAACTTTTTTAGTCTGACTTTATACACGGCAAACTTATCAAAAGTTACCAAAATAAAAAATATGTTGCCAAGTTACCAAGCACTCAAAAAGTTACCTATTTTGGTGGCAACCGTGGACAATAAGAGCCATGACTTTAGAG